CCCACCAAGCTTCCAAAGGGCGAGGAGGACTGCAGATTGGTCTGGATTCACTGCTCTCCAACTTAGCAATGTTTGGAGATGATGAAGAGGCATTTGACAGAAGATGAAGATCTCCATCATATTTCAAGTCATTTAACACTGAATTCTGCTTTATTATTGTGCTGCGCTTTTGTCAATTGATCATTGAATGAATCCTTCAGTCTTTATATCTGTCTGTTTCTGTGTTTCCATTCTGTTTTCTGTTTCCACATCTGATCTAAAAGCTCTGTGTGTCATTCAGAAGCTGATTTGACAGCTCCACACACACTCATGTTGTTTTACTGCAGTTATTAATGCACTGAGATCAGCCAATCACAATCCAGCATTCAGCACACACTCCACATGTCTTATTGTGTGTGTGCGTGTGTGTGTGTGTGTGTGTGTGTGTGTGTGTGTGTTATAAGCTGATGTTTGTGTACTGACTGAATGTGAATCTGTGTGTGTTTACAGTCTGGATCATGGAGGAGAGACGAGGATTACAGCAGGACCACACAAATGTAGGACTACACACACACACACACACACACTCTATCTCTGTCTTTCAAACACACACACACATGCACACACTCACACACAATCAGACACACACACTCACTCTCACACACACATGCACTCTCACACACACACACACACACACTCTTTCTCTCTCACACGCACAGGCTCACACAAAATCAGACATATACACACACTCGCACACAAGCATGGCCCTCTCTCACACACAGACACACACACTCCTCTCACACACATACACACTTCCTCTCTCTCTCACGCTCACACACACACAGCAGTGAACACACACACACACACACACACACACACACACACACACACACACACACACACACACACACAGCAGTGAACACATGCACACACACATACACCCTCTCTCTCTCTCACACACACACACACACACACACACCCTCTCTCTCTCTCTCTCTCACACACACACACACACACATGCACACACACACCCTCTCTCTCTCTCTGTCTCTCTCTCTCTCTCTCTCTCACACACACACACACACATGCACACACACACACACACCCTTTCTCTCTCTCTCTCTCTCTCTCTCTCACACACACACACACAGCTGTGGTTGTAAATGTGTGTGTTCTTGTGTTCAGATGTCTGTTTCCTCACTCTGGATCCAAACACAGCAAACACTCAACTCATTCTGTCTGAGGAGAACAGAGAGGTGAAGAGTGTGAGAAAGAATCAGCCGTATCCTGATCATCCACACAGATTTGATTATTATCCTCAGGTGTTGTGCAGAGAGAGTGTGTGTGGACGCTGTTACTGGGAGATTGACTGGAGTGGAGATGATGGTGTGGAAATATCAGTGTCATATAAGAGCATCAGGAGGAAGGGAGATGGTGTTGAGTCTTGGTTTGGATATAATGCTCAGTCCTGGAGTTTGTTCTGCTCTTCCTCCAGTTTCATATTCTGGCACAATCACACAGACACTGATCTCCCAGTGGAGCCGCTCAGCAGGAGAATAGGAGTGTTTGTGGATCACAGTGCAGGAACTCTGATCTTCTACAACATCTATAGAGACACAATGAGCCTCATCCACTCAGTCCAGACCACATTCACTGAGCCGCTCTGTGCTGGGTTTAGGCTTTATTCTGGATCATCAGTGAAACTGAGCTGAAGACTGACGAGAGATTTACCCAGAATCCTTTGCAGGAGCAGCTGTGTTGTGTGTGCATGTGAGAGTGTCTGTGTTTGTGTGTGTGTGAGTGACAGAGAGTGTGTGTGTGTGAGAGAAAGTCTGTGTTTGTGTGTGTGTGTGTGCATGTGTAGTGTGAGAGTGTCTATGTTTGTGTGTGAGAGTTTGTATTTGTATTTGTGTGTGTGTGTGTGTCCATGTGCATGTGTGTTTGTGAGAAAGTCTGTTTGTGTGTGTGTGTGTGTGTTTGCGTGCGTGCGTGCGTGTTTGTATTTGTGTGTGTGCATGACAGACAGTGTGTGTGTGTGTGTCCATGTGTGTGTGTGAGAGTCTGTTTGTGTGTGTGTGCGTGTTTGCATGCGTGTGTGAGAGAGAACGCGTGTGTGTGTGTGTGTGTGTGTATGTGTTCACACTTATATGTGTGTGTGCGCGTGTGTGTGTTTTTTTTGTGTGTGCGTGTGTGTGTTTGTGTGTGTGTGTGTGTGAGAGAGAACGTGTGTGTGTGTATGTGTTCACTGTTGTGTGTGTGTGTGTGTGCTTGTGCGTGTGTGTGCGTGCGTGCGTGCGTGTGTGCGTGTGTATGTGTGCGTGCGTGCGTGTGTGTGTTTGTGTGTGTGCGCGTGTGTGCGTGCGTGTGCATGTGCGTGCGTGTTTGTGTGTGTGTGTGTGTGCGTGCGTGCATGTGTTTGTGTGTGTGTGTGTGTGTGTTTGTGTGTGCATGTGTGTGTGTGTGTGTATGCGTGTGTGTGTGTGAGTGACAGAGTGTGTTTGTGTGTGTGTGTGTGTGTGAGTGACAGAGTGTGTTTGTGTGTGTGTGTCTGTGTTTTAGAGAGAGTGTGTGTTTGTGTGTGTGTGAGATAGAGAGAGTGTGTAAATATGAGAGGGTGTGCTTGTGTGTGTGTGTGTGTGTGTGTGTGTGTGTGTGTGTGTGTGTGTGTGTGTGTGTGCGCGTGTGTGCGCGTGTGTGTGAAAGAGAGAGACAAAGTGTCTGTGTGTGTGTGTGTGTGTGTGAGAGAGAGAGAGAGTGTGTGCGTGTGTGTGTGTGCGCGCAGGTTTACTATTGTTTGTGCGTGTGTGTGTGTGTGTGTGTGTGTGCGCAGGTTTACTATCGTTTGTGTGTGTGTGTGTGTGTCTGTGTACACACTTGATAAAGAGTACAGAATATGGCCAGCACTTTGTACAGTTCTCCATTAGTTGTGAAATGTTGAATTATGTTTGTGTTCTGCTTAAAAATGTTCTTGATTTTATTTAGGTGTCCTCAAGCAGAGGCTTATACTGTTTTACAAGTGTTGTGTCTGTTGGGGATGGCGAGAGGGGGGTCCTGCAAGCACTGCTCAGCGCATTGGTACTTCAATGCTGAAGGGGAATTCCCTTGTGAAAAATATACAGTTGTGTTTATGTTTATTAAAGATGATAGTCAAGACCTGCTGTATTTAAAATTATCATTATTTTCTGTATATTGTCAGTCATCCTTTTGTACATGTGTGCATGTGCAGACACAGATGTGCGGTAGGGGTCGGGGAGACGTCTGACATAAAAACAACAACAACAACAACAACAGATCAGCCAGATTTATACTTGAACCGAGAAAGAGGAAAACAGAACAAAAATGTTGTAAGTGACTCTTTATAATAACATAATAATAATGATAATATTAATAACTTGATGAACAAAATCATTATTAAAATTATTTTGAAAGATCTACAGTATCTGTGCAGGGCAGAAATGGACCCAGACGTGTTGTTAGAAAGTGCTATTAAAGTATTTATCCTGTATTTACTTATACAAAAATAACACCAAGAAGACTGCATTTTAAATCAGTGTTATTAGATTATGAATTTATTTGTAACTTATTAAAGTGTAGAACCGATATCAAATTAAAAACCAGCCAGTAGGTGGCGGTAGAGCACTGTCTTAATTCATTCCAATGGAGAAACTGAACAAAGCGAGTGATGGATCAGTAAATATTAGATGATGAAACTGATCGCGTTTGGAGACGACACACATTCCAGGAAATATGAGAAGATTTAATAAAGGATTTTACTCCTGCTGGAACATTAACATATGACAGATAATAAACATTTATAATCAGAGCAGCATCAAAATAAAATAAACCCATTATATGATGAAATAAACTGATTTAATAAGTGTAAAGGTGTCAAACACTTACTTCCCCTGATAAATAATAACATATTCCTGCTCATAATAAATAAATCATAGTTAAACTCCAAGCAGTGCAGTATTAAAACATTTAAACACACGTCCAATACTCTAATAGTCTTAAATCACAGCGTGTAATGTTAATATTTTCAGTTGTACATTTCCCAGAGACGTCTCTCATTCATCAAAGGTAACCCTGAACTCAAAATGAAAGTGAACTAAAAACACTGCATTTGCTTCAGACTCCACCTTTATTTGTTTGCTGTAGTGTAAATATGCAACCTCTAAAAACTAAATCCATAAAAGCCACACATTTGACGACACATTTGACTGCTGCATTTCATTTGAGTCTATCAAAAATAAACATTCTGATGCAAAATAATCAACAATCATCAACATGTCACAATTAAAAACACTGCACTGCTGAAAGGCAGAAGTGAAGGGACGTCATTGTGAAAATGGGATCCTGTTTAATATAAGAGTCGTAATATTGTTTAGCAGGAGAAATACTACTATGAAATTCACATTACCGTTTATCGATTACATTCATAATTCATTCGTTTACATCATTAACATATAAAACACTCAGCAGGAATGTCCACTTTAGTGTATTTTTGAGTTGATTAACAATAAAAGCAATATTTAAGATGTTGTAAATGCATTTCCTGTTTACTGACACGCTGTAGTGGCGATCAACGCTATTACGTTTCCACTAACCAATGAAACTACAAGTGGGCTTGGCTGAATGTGCAGCCCCGCCCCAGATGCTGCCCCCTCCCGATCTGCAGGCTGCAGACAGGGGCTTCTCAACCATTTGGGCTCTGACCTGAGTCAGATTGAAATAGTTTTGTGCTCTGCTCAGATGTCCACTAGATGGCAGTAAAATGCAGCAGTAACGCAAGCTGAGGAAGTGTGTTAAAGGAGAATAAAAGAGCACTAATTGATGGAATGTTGACAAAACAACAACAACACTCATTATATTAAAACATCAGTCATGCTGAACTCATATGATGAGGGCAGTCTAAATTATACTGGATATTTAATAGGATAAGACAGTTTCTTCTAAATACTTCATCTGTCTGTAATATTATCTCCCGTTTCATTTCTCTCATACGGGGTTTTAGTATTTATTTTAATGTGTAATTATTCAATTGAAAAACTCCTAATCAAACTCTCTATACTTCACTAACAAGTGCTCACAACATGGATGTAGCAGATGTCATGTGTGTTTAAGATCTTATGCCAGTTCACCTAGGAACTAATTAAGGCGGAGCTAATTTCAGGGGGAACTATAAAAATGATGCACCACTGTGAGTAGAGAGACAAATGCATTCACTTCCAAGCATTCAACAAGCTAAGGAATGCTTATGCTTTTCTTGAGTTTCTCCCTTCCGTAACCAGCCAATGAGGTATGTTTGTTTTGTATGATTTGTTGGTTTTGTTTGATTTGAAGTGTGGTGTTGTTGTTGCTGTTTGTTTGGTGTGTGCATTTAACTGTTTGTTTATGAGCGGTGCTATTTATAAAGTTAAATTGTATTAGTTAAGATTATGTGATCCAGTGTTATGTGTGACCTTAATGTGGTGATTTGGATTAATTTGATATGGAATTGCACTGTTGTAATTCATTGTTGTATGTTTTTTAGTTCTTACGTCTGGTACACCCCTGATGTCTTGTGGTTTGCTCTATGTTGAGAACTGAAGACTTGCTATGAAAATAAACCAGTCAGTAGAAACCAAAGACTCTTGCTCGTTTGTTGCTGGAGGGAGCTACAGTAAGAACTCAAGGCTCATTGCGAGTATGAAAGAAGAAGCAGGACAATTTAACCAATGAACTCAGTCAAGTATTCTGTTGTGCAAAGCAACGAAGTGAAATTATACATGGTTCAGCAATATCAGAAGGAAAGGACATTGCCGGTGTAATATGGAGACGCAAGCATAACTTGAAGAGCAGCACAAGTCAAGACCAACAGTAAGAGTGGTGCAGTTAAGTGTGATTAAAGGTACCTAACTGTGGTTAATGGCTGCAAAGACTTTAAGTATTGTTTAGTGTTTAATATTGTCATGTTCCTTTCAAAATGTTGGTGGTTTATTATTGACTTGTATGTAAATTAAGTACTGTTTAACTGCCTGTTTCTATTGCTGTGAAATAAGGGTAAATTTCACTTTCAGTGTTTAATCAGATTAAGGCATGATTTATGGTCTTAACTTTAAATTAAGGAATAAATAATAAAGAAAAGGATTTTAGAAGTGATAAAGGAGAAATTTAAACAATGTCAGATTTAGGTGAGCGGCCCATGGATGATAGAGTGAATCAGCAACTTGCAACTCAGCCCTCAGTGAGAAGTAAGGTGGCAACGGAAACTTCTGATGCTGTGGAGACTGAGCTACGAAGAGGAAAGAGGACTCGTAAGCTGACTGAAAAGGGTCAGAAGTTGCAAGAAGAGAAGTTGGAAAGGTATGAACAGAGATTCAAGGTCCGTTATGATAAATGGAAATCTCTTGTCAAAGAAGTAAAGTGGTTATTATCTGAGTCTTCCTCAATTGAATCATTACAAGATGTTATGGTAAGAATGACAAAGGCTTCTGCAGTTGTAGGCACTGGGTATGAAGATCTACGCCATTTGAGTATTCCTGACCATGATACACGCCGCCGAGTAGACCATTGTGAAGCAGTCACAAAGAAAATGGAGGTTTTGGTGAAGCATTATTTCGAAGGGAATAAGGAAATGGAGTCTGGATGGAGTGACATTGAGTTATCTGAAGAGGTCAGTGTGGGCACAAGGATTTCTAGAACATCTACATCGTCTCAAAGTAAGTCAAGATCTTCTAAGTTTTCAAGTTTATCTGCTGCCAAAAAACAAGAAGCTGCTGCTGAGGTTGCTGCTAATGAAGCCACTTTAGAAGTCTTAAAGGAACAGGATCGTCAGTTTAAGGAACTTCAGAAGCTT